ACCGTATTCTAATTATTAAGGCCCTACATCAGGGTTGAGGGCTTAGGCTTTAAACCCTAAGCCCTAAACCAGATAACTTAGTTCTAGTCTTCCGAAAACCTCAAGGCGATGATTTGCAAGCCATCGCACCAAGAAGCCCTAAACCCGGAACCCTAAACCCAAAACCCTAAACCCTAAATCCCCCAAAAACCGCCAAAGCCGAAAAAAAAAAAACCGAGCCCCAAGTCCCAAAGTCCCTAATTAAGCTCAGGGCAGAAGGCCTTCATCCCGGTCATAAACCCATAAGCCCTAAAGCTTCTGAAAACCTTAAACCCTAAACCCTAAACCACCCCCCCAAAAAAGAAAATAAAAATAAAAAATAGCATCCTCAAACCGCCCTAAAACCCTTCAACCATAAACCCTGAAGCCACTAGCTCTCATCGGGTCGAAGCACGTATGGAGGTGGCAAACAACCCGTTCAAACACCCAGTAAATACACCCGGAAGTCATCCTTGTCAACCCTGCCCTGATAGAGATGCTCTGAGCACCTTATAAACTTCACACAACCCCCCTAGAAACCCTTTCAAGACCTACACCCTGAACCTTAAACCTAAACCCTAAACCCTAAACCTTAAACCTGGATAGGAGCACCTGGTGGGCGCCGGTTTCCAGGCCTCACCCGCCCTGGCTCCGGGGCTCTTCGCCGCTCGGCGTCCATTCTGGTGTTCTCTGTTTCGTGTTTTGGGGTTCAGGTCTTTAGGGTTTTTTGTATGGTTTAGGGTTTAGGGTTTTTTTAAGGGGTTTAGGTGTTTTTGTTAGGGGTTTTGGGGTTTGGGGGTTCAGGGTTAGGGGTGGGGGGTTTAGGGCTTTAGGGGTTTTTTATGGTGCAGGGGTTTCGTGTGCACGCGGAATATTTAAGTTTGACTTTCAGCATCGGGCTTGGCAAGGGCGAAAACTGGGGTTTTACTTGTTTGCTAGTGTTCTCCTCTGCGAAAAGGGTTTTGTAAGGAGCCTGAATTCCTTCCTTCGGGTTGAGAGTGTTTGTACCAGCGATGAGAATCGGCAAGATTAGGGCTTTAGGTTTGCGCTGTCGCCTTTTGTTTTAGGTTTAGGGTGTCGAGGAGGTTTAGGGTTTGTAGATTCAGGGGTTCTTTTTTGTGTTTAGCGGTTCGGGGTCTGGGGTTTCGGGTTAGGGCTACGTAAAGGAACACAGAAGGCCACAATGAGAGTGCAGAAATAGAGGAGTAGCAACACTAGTGACGATCAACCATGGGAAATGCTAAAACAGTGCTTCTTGTAGTAGCGACGAACACCATGACAGTGGCACACACAGTTGTCATGGTAATTAGAAAAGCAATACTGTTAGTTTTCGCACTGAAGATTTGACCCACAACTTCGATGCTAGACTCTGCTGTTGTCTAGCAATCCTCTGAACTAGTCACAGTACCGAAGGCCCTGCACGACAGGAAGCACTCTTTGCGAGCCCGCTTTCGTGTCTAGGGTTAGTGTGCTATCTGCAATCAACGAGCAGTGTCATCCAGACACTACGTCGTGCTTACTTGCTGCAAGTATCATCTTCTTGAATCTTGCCTCAGACGGTAGCACAGAAGCCTGAATTCTGCAATGTACCCGCCCCCACCCTCATCCTATCTTGCTTAAGGCCGCTATAATATGCCAGCGGCACACCCGGCACACCCGGCACATACACCGCGCGCCTAGGCAGTGATCGACTGCGGTGGGCGGCTGGAGGTTTTCCTGGGGCCATGACAGCCGTTTGGATTTGGACAGAGCTATGGAGTTCAGCCACAACAGCAAGGCTTTCTTGTTCTAATTCTGTGCGAACCAGGGCTGGTCTTTGCTGACCATGTGTCAGCGCGACAGAGCGTGGCATGCTTCAAGCATCCTACTTTGCGGATGCTTCGCGCAGTAGGACGTCTTACCTGGACGAGTCGTCGCGTCGGTGTGGAAAAGGGCGAACAGACGAGAAGAGCGCCGGTTAGCTGCAGCTTTTCGAGAGCGATGGCAGGTTCCAGCAAATAGAACCCTAAACCCTGAGCATGAGCGGCGATTCGGAGTTGTCGCGTGTTTAACTTCTCAAAGCGGCCTGCCAGAAGCAAGCATGATGATCCTTGCCTGGAAGCTTAAGAAGGCTCCGACAGCAGGCTCCGATTCATCGGAATTCTGGATACCCTCCAAAACCCAAAGAAGCCTCATAGAACTTTTTATCCTTCTATGTGGAACCGCTCTTCAACACGTATTAAACTAAGCCCTTCAAGACCTTTGCAGGCATTACCATCTTCCTCGCCGGGCACCCAAGATTATCAAAACTGTTCGGGTCGTGGGAGCGATGCCAGCAAAGCCAACACGCGGGAACCGAAGTTTGCAGCCCCTAAACCCTAAACCCTAAACCCTGAACCATCGACATTTGGTTCAGGAGTTCAGGGTTTTAGGAGCTTAGGGGTTGCGGAGTTTAGGAGTCTACGCTCTTTTGGGCTTTGCGGTACCTGCCCTATGGTACCCTAAACGACCTTAAACCCCAACCCTAAGCCCTTAAACCCTCTATGGTACCCTCAACTACCTTAAATCCCAAACCTAAACCCCTAAACCCAACCACCAATCTCCTGCGGGGTTTAGGCTATATAGGGCCTGTAATGTCGGGGCCTCCGTAATTAGAATAGGGCTTTGGGTGTGTACGCATACTCAGGAACCCCAAGGAATAAGATGGATACTTATTCAGGCCTCTATAAATCCTAAACCTTTAAACCCCTAAAACCCTAAACCCCCCAAACCCTTAAAAACCCTTAAACCCCCAAAAACCCCTAAAACCCTAAACCCCCAAAGCCGGGTTGGGAGCCCCATGGCCCGGTACTGTGGTGGCCTTAATAATTAGAATCGGGTTTGTGGGTTCCTTATTACAGTTATGGTATAGTATACACCGGCCTAAGGTAGTGCTTAATAAGTAGAATAGGGTTTGGGATATATTCTACTATGTTTACAATAAGAAACCCAACAATAGTATAGGTAATTGTTGAGGCCCCTACATTAATCCTCTAGCTGGTAGTACTGGGGTCGAAAGTTAAGGTCTATAATAAGGAGTACCTGCTTCGGAGCCCTAAAATCTACAACTGGGACCTACTTCGGGCTAGTTGGAGGACCAGCGCACACCCCTGCAGAGCACCGAAAATCCCGAGGTGAAGGACAGCTGCAAGAACATGAGCATGCCGCGATCTCGGAGATTACATCTTGGATACTGCCCCCACTCAGTAACAGTTGGATAATATTCATAATAGAGATATATAAGGCCCTTAATAGTAGCCCTATTATAGACTGTTACTGTATTGGGGCAGTACCCAAATTACATCCCTCATGGGGCGGCCATGGTCTGTGCTTTTGGATCGGCCTGTGGCTGTGCTTGAAAACGGTTCTCGATGTGGGTAGTTCTCTAAGTTAGGATCCCTGTTTCGGCCCCCAATATAGTACGGCACCCTTATAAAAAGGACCCTAGAAGGGACCCTAATTTGGAAAACTACCCATGTGCAGACTTATGTTGGGAGTTGGGCGTAGATGTGGGGCTAGAGTCAGGTACTGCCTGCTGATGGTGGGCCTGATGTGCAGCTTGCAGGCTATGCTGCTATGCTGCGAGCCGGGATGTGTGTGAGACGACACCTTAGGGTTGCTTCATAGGAGCCTTCACACAAACCCTTGTTAGCCGGTCTGAAAACCGCCGCCGGGCTGACAAAATAATGGGCGTGCAGAGGCTTTAAAAAGTGCAACATAGCAAAATAGAGCACCATGTTACACAATAAAATCGACGTCATATAGCATAACTTGCCAAAAGATAAATGCCATGATGTAATATAGCAGAATAATTGAATAGACTCATAGAGTGTAGTAGTTTCGGGGTGGAGCCTCTCCATGGCACTTGCAGAAAAGCCCAGCCTCGAATCCCTCGAGTCATCCTCTCCGGACTTCATGGGGCCAGAAAGCCGCGACAAGCTCTTCACTGGTTTAGGGTTCAGGGCTCATTCTGCAGATACCATAACATAGGGGCCTGAAAGAATTAGAATAGGGTTTTGGGCTCCTTTAGAGTATACATATATATATATATATATATGTAAAAGGACACCCCAAAAATAATATGGGTAATTACAGAGGCCCCTACATTAAGCCCCAGGTGGACATGCAGTAGACGCCAAATAGGTGCAAAATCCTCGTCCCCCCCCTTCAGGAAACAAATGAATCCTAGCATTTGTCCACGTTCTAGATTTCTGGGATCCACCGTAAGTCGTACAAAGCTCCACGGAGGCTTTTTTCGAAACGCTTGCCTTGCTGGGCAGCCTCGGTGGGAGGAGGACTTACTTGTGGGGACCTGGTATAGAAACCCAGAGAGCTCGATTGGTTTCGGGTTTAGGGTACACAGTGAATTCATCGTAGGAATCTTATGTTCAGGAACGCCGTAAGGAAGCCTCAAACTTTCTTTTTGGGATAGCCTTGGAAAGCCTTCTTTAATGCCCTACAAAGAATCCTGTCCACTGCAAATGATTCTCGAAATTGTTTTGTGGTATGCACATGTACAGACTCATAAGTCCTTATCGCCATGGAAAGGGGTCTCGGACTTTCGTCTTAGAACCGAGCGTTGCCAGGTGCTTAGTTCAAGGCTTGGGGGCCTTCAAATTTTCGGGTTAGGGCTTTAAGGTTCTAGGGCTTAGGGTTTAAGATTTTAGTGCCCCCAAAGCCCCCAAAGCCTCCAACTATTCTGACCCTCCGACTACAGCTTAACAGCTTTTTTCTGGTTGCCACCGCCCGAGTTCGAGTTTCCGTCGGGCTTTTGGACCCCGATATCAGGAGGGCCGTGAGCCGCTTGAGCCCTGATGACAACCTTTCCCTAGTGTCCCGTTGCAGCAAACCCTAAACCCTAAACCCCTAAACCCCTAAACCCCTAAACCCTAAACCCCCAAACCCTAACCCCTAAACCCTAAACCTAGCCGCCCCCGGCGCCCCCACAACAAGCAAGCTTTAGACCCTATATGGCCAACCCTTAAGCCTGTGAAGGACCACCAGCACCATTGTGGCACCCGGCTCGCGCGCTGGGCTCGGCCACCAGAGCTGACTTGATAGATAGGGCTCCTTTCACAGTATATTACTATATTATCTATACTTCTCATTTAACATGGAGGCTTGAAAATCATACATAGAAGGTTTCTGGGGTAGATGATCGTACATTATTACATTTTCTGCGGGAACCCGAAGGACCCGAAGGGGCCGACTCCCGTCAGGGATTGCCAAGCCTTCACATAGGTTAACGTGTGGTGCGTGATACAGGCGTCGAAATACTTGGTAATGGTATCCCCTTAAAATCTTCATGTACTTGCAGTGTACTCTCCCCAAAGCCTCGCTGAGGCCCTTTTAGGTTTGGGGCGCCAAGAGCATCAAGATCGGAGGATATCCGCAGCCCGGAACAGCAAGTACCCCCCAACCCTAAGCCCCTAAACCCTAAACCCCTAAACCCTAAACCGTTGCGGTCCCTGCGTCGATGTTCCAACAGCATTGCCCGTTGTACTCAGGAGCCTTTGGAGAGAATCCGCGCAACAAGCGTCCTCCGAACCCTAAGCCCTCAACCCTAGACTTAATCCCAGACCCCCAAAAGGATCTAAAAAATAGATCCCCTAATTAGGGACCCTAACTACTAAAGGGCACTTTGTAGGAACCCCCTTAGGGGATCATTTTTAAAGATCCTCTTGGGGGTCTGGGATAGAGGGGCCTAAATAATTACCTATGCTATGTCGGGGGCTCCATATTAGGAGAAAAAGTATAATGGCCCCCAAAACCCTATTCTAAATATTCAGGCCCTTACATTAAACTCCCCAGCCCTCCCCCCAAGTCGCATGTTGGGCCAAGCCGAACTGAGGCGACAACGTCACCACCTACACCACGCAGGCCTGAGAAGCAAGAGTTGCTAGACCCTTCCAGAAAGCCAGTAGCGTTAATATAGAAGCCTAGATAATCACCTATACTATTTTGGTGGTTTCGTATTATAGGTATAGTATAGAGGGCCCCAAAACCCTATTCTAATTATTAAGGCCCCTATATTACCTGGTGCCTTCAGGTCACGACCCACCCCTTCTTCGACAAGTCGCAAGGTGTGGTGTACAATGCCAGGTCCTCAGAGTGTGAGAAGATCCGGCAACTGAGTAAGTAATATACTTGGAGGATCATGGGACTTAGTAAGTAATTTTATAAGTCCCCTAATTGGGGTTATAAGTATAGTTACCTTAATTATAACCCTACTTACTAAGTCCCATGATCCTCTAAGTAGGGGCCTAAATAAATACCAATACTAGTTTAGTGGGGGGTTCCTTACTATGACTATAGTACATTGGGCCCCAAAACCCTATTCTAATTATCAAGGCCCCTACATTATGGTCATAAGTACCCGAATGAGGATGTAGCTCATTACAAGTGTAGTTACTTCTAGTCATACCTCTACTTACTGAGTCCTTCGAGCGTCCCTGAATCCTTGAAGTACTGTGAAACTTTGGGTGTTCTGTGCTAGGGCTTTCGCTGTCCGGGCTGGGAAGTCTTAACCGTCAGCTTGCTTGTACGTTTTGCATTGGAGGCAGGTGTGTCATTCTCATGTACGCTCTTAGAGAACCTTCCTCAAATCACGCAACATACCCATGCAAAGGCCCCCTAAGCCCCTAAGATACTAAATTTGCATTAGATCCCCTTAACGCCATATAAAGACCCAGTAGGAAAGCGCCTGCGCAGTCGTCCAGGCTCAATCTGCTTTGCTCATCGCAAGCCCACTTGCCGCTTCCTCGGTGCGTGTTGTTGCTTTTCGGGCTTCAAAGGCCTTCGACGGCTTCAACAGCAATTGCTCAGCATCCTTTCTGGCTGGAGTAATACAGACTAAATCCTTTTCGGTCCGTAAAGTGGCTGGATTCTCGTGGTTTCCACGTAGATCGTTGCATTTCTCTGAGCGTCGGCGGCAGATGTGGGAAAATTGGAGTGGTCACGGAGAAGTTGTTCGCGGCAACATTGTAGAAACAAGCACCAGGAACCCTACCCGGCCCTACCCTATAAAATTTAGACCCTAAAACCTTGAAGCTCATAATCGCAGAGTCCTCAACCGTATACCATTTACCCTTAAACAGTCGTTTGCCACAACACCACAAAACCCTTCAACGATATAAACTTTCATTCGATAAACGGATGCCTGCTGTAAGGCTCAAACGTTGAAGGTCCCCTGTGACGTTACGTCCATGGAATCTGACTTTGATGGATTTCGGCTGCCATTTCCTCACGAGCTACAGTAATCTGGGTTCGCAATGATTTGAACAGGTTTTGGGGTTTATTACACTACAATGATTCAGGTCACTATATTATGCCTGCTTTTCGAATCAGAGTATCTGCACAGCCGACCGGGCTTGCACCTGAGACCCTAAACTCTAAACCCTCGACTCCTGCCAGATCACAGAAGCTTGAGCGACCACTTCATACCAACTAATGTCCCACAGATCTCGGACTCTGGGGATCTTTCGGCTACGCCTGCGCGTAAAGGTTATGGTCTTGGCCGCAGTCTTGGCATACTACACTTACAGCATCCTGGCAGCAAGAGGTGTCCGAATTCCCTGCCCCAGGAGGCCCCAAGCGGAGTTGTGCTTCTGTTTCCGGAGGAGCGGTGTCGGTGGTACAGCAGCATCAGACGTCGGGTGCTACGATTGAGCGCGTTTTGTGCGGGTTGGGGTTGGGGTATTACTTAGACAGCCAATAGGAGAACTTTAATCTTTTTGGCCTTATCTATTAGGTCTAACGTAAAACGTTGGAACTTTTTGGGCCTGGTTGTTGAAGAAGAGAGGTAAGCAAAAGAGTCGTCAGGATGCTCTGTCTGCCCCTGTGTGACTTGCCACACGTACACAAATCCAGTGCCCCCGAAATGGATTGTCAGGTTTCTGCGCGAGGGCCTCGTCTTGACTTGAAATCCTGATTATCTATGCTAAACCCCCAGAAGACCATAATACAAGACCCTATAGGTCCACAAGACCTTGTAGAACCCTACAGAGCCCAATAAGACTTCACGGAACCCCACAGAGTGCTAAAAAAAAGACTGCCATGCAACCCTATAAAATGGTTATGTGGCCCGAGCTCGGACACATTGCAAATAAGACACCAAAATTACGAGTGACAATGTTGCGCTTATGAATACGAGGTAGGCCTTTGGGATACTTCAGATTTTCTCCTACTGGGCTTAAGAGGGTATTTTGTAAGAGCATATTTCAAGCTCTAAGCAAGATACTAATGGCAATAACGTTCCGGAGAAAGAGGACGGGCCGCTGAGGTAACTAGTTTCACAGAAGATTTGCCAGGCTTATCTAACCATAAATGCCCTGAAGCTCTAAACCCCAAAGGCCCTAAACCCCAAACCCAGAAAGAAAACCCATAAACCCTAAACCCAGAAAGAAAACCCCTAAACCCCTAAACCCTAAATAATCCCCAATGTGGCTCAGATGAATTCTCCTCGCCCCTCTTCCCCGATGATGACGCTGAGCTCGGATCTTAGAAATTCCTGGAGTCGCCGAGATGGTGCTAGGATTTAGTGTTTAGGGTTTAGGGTTTAGGGTAGGGTTGAAAGGGACCGGAAATGTTGAGCTCCATTATCTGGGCACTTTTTTTTTTTGGAGAGGGGGGGGGTGGGGGGGCTTTGTGAATGGTGTGAGTCTTATGGGTTTTGTTGTCAAGGCTTTGCAGGGTTCGATTACAGCTATGTAGGCGCTTGATAAAGCTTGGTGAAGACTGTTTAGGAATTTTGTCACGGTTATAGAGGGTTTGATCAGGTTTTTACATGGTGTTAATGAGGCCGTTTAAGGGTCTGCTTATTAAGGGTTTTTCAGGTTGCTAGATGTTAAGAAAGGGAGTTTTACGCGGTTTTTGCGAAATCAGACGGGGCTTATGATCATTTTCAAGGGTCTTACAAAGGTCTTAGAGGGTGTTATGGGGGTTAAAAAAAAGCGTTGATGCGAAAAGCAAGGGGGTTTGGAAGTCGGGTTTGTGTTGGCTTAAGTCCAAGGTTATTGTGGAACTGTAGACCTCTGATAAATCCACCCCCTCCTTTAATAAGGATTATATATCAGGCGTCCCCTAAACCCTAAACCGTGAATCCTAAACCCGAGATCCTAACTTCAAGAACTCTACACCCTAAATCCTAAGCCCCTAAACCCGAAATCCTCAACCCCAAACCCTAAAGTCGATGTTAGATCCTGAAGCCATGTGGGTAGTTGTCAAAATTATGGTCCCTTTTGGGGTACCCTAAATAATAGGTGCCGTATTATAATAAGGACCCAAAAAGGGACCATAATTTTGGCAACCACCCATGTGTAAACTCGGCTTGGGGGGGGCTCTGAGTTCTCTGCTTCTGCGCTTGCCTGATAAAAGCGACAAAAGTAGTACGGTGTCTTCGGGTCCCTGACTTTGGTGCTACTCTAGTCAGCTGGTCCTTAGGGTTCCTTCTGATAATAAGCTGTAAGTTATAATCATACCAGAAAATTCCCAAAAAAAACAAGTCCAATCATCAAGGCCCTCTCTGAGTTCGGCCATTATTCCCATGACCGTCCCTAAACGCTGACCCCTAAACCCTAAACCCTAAACCCTAAACCCTAAACCCCTAAACCCTAAACCCTTGCAGCCCAGGACAGGCGGCGTGTGGGGTGGCGGCCAAATGGGATACGGTCGGCTGTCGAAATTCCACGGGGACTCTGGGGTTTAGGGTTCAGGGCACTCCTGGGATATGGGTTTAGGGTTTAGGGTTTAGGGTTTCAGCTTTTGGGTGGGTTCAAGCGTACGGGTTTGGCTTTGGGTTTAGGATGGTTTAGGGTTTAGGGCAGCGCATGACAATTGAAGGTGGTTCCAGCAGGAGCGGTAGTTGCGGTTTTATACAAGCTCGTTTGAAGCCGATACAGATGTCTTCGAAGTTGCCATGCGTGAGGCACCCATGATCTGTCAATTCTTGGGAGTACGCCTTTAAAGCTTTCAAAAGGCCCTCTAAACCCCGAACCCAAATCCTATAGCAACCTTAAACCTAAACCCTTTAAACCGAAACCCGAAGACTATAAACCCCAAATGGGAGAAAGCCAGGGACCTACGGCGGAGGTGCCACCAACTATGGCGATGCCACCCGGCGGAGTCAGAAGTTTAGGGAGCAACAAAATAATGCAGCCTTTTTGCAATCGTATATTATAGTAGAAGCATATTTTACAGTATGTTATAGTGTGCTATAGTATACTAAAGTCTAGTATCCCTTACGGTTCCATCATTGTTGCACTATCATGAACTCCCGCACGGTATCCTAAGTCTAAAGGCCCGTCTATGAGTCTATTCGCTTGCCCGAGGCGCGGAAGGTCTTGTATTCCTAGATTTTCGACCCCACAGCGCACCCCAGCAGACCATGCAAGCAACGTTTTGAAGCCTCACACAAGCCTGCTAGAAATATACTACGTGCTAGCGGTGGAGGAAGACAAGTCGATCATGCTAAACCCTAAACCCTAAAATGCTACACCACATGCCAGCATGCCCGCGAGTGAAGTGTTCGGATAACCAGGAGCCCTTTACCCTAAACCCCTCACACCCACAACTCCCGGGATTTTTTCAGATCCGCACTTGGCTCATGGGTAGTTATGAGTAATCCCTTGAAGATGCCCTCAAAAAAGCCTTATAACTCCTTAAACCCCTAAGCCCCTAACCCTGAACCCCTCAACCCTAACCCTAAACCCTAAACCCTAAAACCCTAAACCCCTAAACCTTAAACCCTAAAACCCCCAAATCCCTGAACCCTAAACCCCTAACCTCCTAAACCCCAGAACCTAAACTACCCATGAACCTAAAGTAAGTAGGGTTATACATAGGGTAGATATAGTTATAACCCAATTCAGGGACTTATAACGCCAGAACCCCCGAACTATCCATAAACCTAAAGCCCTTCTAGATCCCTTATAGGGGCCTTGTAACTCCACAAACCCGTAAACCCCTCAACCCTAACCCCTAAACCCCAGAACCCCCAAACTATCCCTGAACCCTAAACCCTAAACCCCTAAACCCTAAACCCCAGAACCCCCAAACTATCCCTGAACCTCCAAGCAGGCCCGTCGCCCAGAGCCAGGGTCTCAGCTACAAACCGCGCGAGAGCTCAACTGAGCCCAAAAGTCCCCAGGAGTTCAGGTTCCCCTTTTGAAGGGGTTTAGGGTTTAGGGGTTAGGGGTTTAGGGTTTAGGGTTGAGGGGTTTAGGGGTTTAGGGGTTTAGGGGTTTAGGGTTTAGGGCTTCTTTTAAGGGTTCCACTTTGGGTTTTTGGGTGTTTGGAGTTTCGGTTCCCCTTTTAAAGGGCTCCTTTTAGGGGTTCCCACTCAGGGTTTTGGGGGGTTGAGGGTTTAGGGTTTAGGGCTCCTTGTAAGGGTTCCACTTAAGGTTTTTGGGTGTTTGGGTTTAGGTTCCCGAAAGGGCTCCTTTAAGAGTTCCATAAGGTTTTTGGGTTTAGGGTTTAGGTTCCCCTAGAGGGCTCCTTTCAAGGGTTCCACTTAAGGTTTTGGGTTTTTGGGATTTAGGGCTTAAGGGTTCCACTTAAGGTTTCGGGGTTTAGGGTTTAGGGTTTAAGGGTTCCACTTAAGGTTTTTGGGTTTAGGGTCTTGGGTTTCGGGTTTAAGGGTTCCACTTCAGGTTTTGGGTTTTGGGTTTAGGGTTTTGTCCGATTCTCCTCGCTATCCCGGATCGGTTGCGTGAGTGATCGGCTTTTCGTTTGGCCCGGGGCCCACAAGCCCCCAAACCTGAAGCCTAAACCATGAACCCATAAAGCCTAGACCCATAATGCATACACCCTCAACTCCAAAGCAATAAAACCCTCAACCCATACACCCTCGACCCCTAAACCCCTAAACCCTAAGCCCACAACATGCATAACCCATATCCCAGATACCCTAAACCCCCCCCCACCCTAAACCCTAAACCCATACATGAAAAACCCTTGAACCCTCAACCCCTAAACCTCCAAACCCCAAGCCCATAACATGCATAACCCATATCCCATATACCCTAAACCCCCACACCCTAAACCCTAAACCCATACATGAAAAACCCTTGAACCCTCAACCCCTAAACCCCTAAACCCTCAACCCCTAAACCTCTAAACCCTCAACCCCTAAACCCCTAAACCCTCAACCCCTCATCCTCTAAACCCTCAACCCCTAAACCCCTAAACCCTCAACCCCTAATCCTCTAAACCCTGAACCCCTAAACCCCTAAACCCTCAACCCCTAAACCCCTAAACTCTCAACCCCTAATCCTCTAAACCCTCAACCCCTAAACCCCTAAACCCTCAACCCCTAATCCTCTAAACCCTCAACCCCTAAACCCCTAAACCCTCAACCCCTAAACCTCTAAACCCTCAACCCCTAAACCCCTAAACCCTCAACCCCTAATCCTCTAAACCCTCAACCCCTAAACCC